GCCCCCCCGAGCAGCCAAGCCGGAGCTGGTGCTCAGAGCGAGCAGATCAGTCACCGCAAAAATCCGCTCGCGGCTGTGGCCCCTTTAAGAGGCATCTGCAGCTGCCGCTTCCACAGCCTCTGTCCCACTCAGCCACTTGGGACTGTGAAGCCTCACATCCTTGCCCTGTCCTACCTTCTGCTGTTGCAGGTTGATTTCTTAGATTTCTCCTTAGATGTATGGCTTGTTCATTTAGCTCCCAGGCGCTTTTTCCTTGCTGTTTGCGCCTTGTTTCTGTCAGAACTTTGATTTGGTCACCAGGGGGATGAACAGAGCCTCTTATCATCTATGCCATTTTTCCCCCTGTGCTCTTCTAAATCGTGTGTGGTTGCAGTGGACCTCACTTGGTGATTTTAATTTATCCAACTTTTGGCTAAAGTTAATCCTAGATACTTATGGAGCCTAAGCTGATGCCTGTTGGGATCACAAAACCTTTGGATAAGACATTTCATAGTTGATTTCACCAAAGCCCCACATTGTTTTTATAGATGAGGCACAGAGGTCAGGGGATTTGCAAACAGGTGTTATCAGCCAAGTCTTGATTGAGGCACCCTTTCTTCATAGAGGTGCCCCTTCCGCTTTAACAGCACTACAAGAATGATTTAACTTAAGGCATCATTGCCCCCACCTGATTCCTTCCTCCTAGGATGTGTGAATATGTTGACTACCTGCACGAACATTTCAAGTATCCTGTGATAATCAAGAATTCTTCCTACATGCCTCCTCAGGCGAGCTTGGCTAGAGAGGCCTCCTGGAGCAGGGGCTGCCAGCCCCCACTATGCTCATTCTTGTGAGCTAGACCCTAGGCAGGGGTCCACAACCTCTGGGCCGTGGACCAATACTGGTCCGTGGCCTGTTAGGAACCAGGCTGCACAGCATGAGGTGAGCAGCAGGTGAAGTTTCATCTGTATTTGCAGCCACTCTCCACTGCTAGCATCACCATCTCAGCTCCACCTCAGATCAGGCATTAGATTCTCATAGGAGCACCGAGTCCCTGGTGTCAAAAAGGTTGGGGACTGCTGTGAGCAGTTTTGACTCCTTAGAGTTTATTTTTATATCTAGAAACAAATGGCTCTTTAGTTATCCCACAGCAAATTCCCAGGGCCTTAAGGTTAGGGTTTGGGGGTAAAACTGCAGAAAAGTCCTCTTGAATACCAGCCTTTCCGCACCAGCTGAGACCTTAAAACAGGTACTCCTTATGTGAAAACAAAACCAAACCTGGCACCATCTCGCAGGTTAGTTAAATTACAAGTTTTGACTACAATTGTGTTATCTGGGCCATTTATCATCATGTTCAAGAGATCGGGGCTCATTTTCATAAACAGAGGTTGAGCTACCGAAGAAGTGTGATTAGTTAACTAATCCTGGGAAGTAGCCAACAATGTGTCCCTCTCCCCAACTTCAAACAACCTGAAAACTTAATATTAATTCAGTTGCCTCTGAATTTTAGATTTAAAAGCATTCTAGGAACAGCAGAAATATATTAAATAAATGTTTTTGTTCCAGGTGTTTATTAACACTGCTCCATTTTTGGGTCTCTGATAGGATGCTGGTTATTCCACAGAAATGGAGGAATCTGTAAAGAAATACCAATATCCAGATGGTGAAGTCTGGAAGAAACTCCTCGCTGCTAAGGGGAATTAAGTGTTCAGTCCTAACACACCCTTTTCTTTTTTAAGTAAAAAGGTTTAAAATTTCTTGGGCATGGTTTTACAAAAATATGGGGGGAAAAAATCATCCTACCAATCAAAACAAATTCAGCCGAAAGTCATATTAACTTTAGGGATCAGCCCAGTAATCATTAATTTAGCTGATAAACACACATTCTCCTACTTAATCCTTAAACAAATTTAGATTTAACTAATTTAAAGTCCAAGAAGATGTTAAAATTTCTAGCAAGTGCTGGTACCCAGACATTCAGCTGTACTTTGAAAATAAGCAGCATGTTGCGTAATTTGTTGGAACAATTCCTTATTCTATTTAACACTTGTCATAAATTAGCAGAATAAAAATAGTTCTGCAGCACCATGGGGTATCTGGTGTGCAACGAAGATAAAAAGATCCCGCTGATTAGCTCTGAAACGGTTTAGCACTTTTCCTGATAAGTCTAAGCACATTACAGGATATATACCACGCTGAAACTGACGAGGGCAAAACGCTATTTCAGTATCTTTTATAACCCTTTAAAAAATACTTTTCCTAAATAATTATATTTTATAGATAAAATGCAGCTAGAATTAGATGAATCATAGACAAACAGGGAAAAATATAGTTTAGCCAGCATTTCTAAAATATACTCTACCTTTTCAGTAGCATCCAAACAAGAATATAGCATGTTTAGGAGGGTTCATCTATTTTGGGTAGGAACTATGCAGAATGACAATTAAGAATTAAAAACAAAAAACCAGATGAATGTAGAATACTTTATTATAACCATATATAAAACAAATACAATTTTAAATGTTCATAACCACGCAAACTATACATTATCATTATGACTGATGCTATTCAGCTCTAAAATTGAGGAATAGCTTACAAAATTCTTGAAAATCACTAAGCTTCATAAAAACATGGGACTGAAATGTATGTACACGTTTTTGTTAGGAATACATAACCCTTGTCCCCAGGAGATGGTGCCCAGAACCTGGTAGGACAGATGAGCACACACACAACACCTGGGCAAGCAGTAATCACTTCCATAAACAGAGCCATAGAGCCCAAGAGTGACTGGTGCAAATAAGGAAAATCAGGGAAGACATCTCGGGAGAGGTGACATTTGTGGAATGAACAGGATTGCCAACAAGTGGAAGGTGGGGAAAAGTAAGCAAAAGAACCAAGGTATATCTCAACCAATCAATACATAAATAGATGAAAAAATTTAATAAAAAGAACCAAAGTGTGAAGAGGAATGAAGATCCCAGGCATATCAACCTTAAGATTTCATAAAGAGGGTTGGTTAGTGGGAGGCGGGGCTAGAAAATTTGTCCAACATCAGGTTATTCTGGATATTAAATGCCAGGCTAAAAGAAAAGACATTTAGGAGATTAATGTTTTTACAAAAAATGAAAAAGTAAACTTCTACCAGGCAGCGTCTACGGTCAACTTCGCGAGCTCTGATTCTGTGGGGTCCTCACCAGGGTGCCCAAGACTGACGAGCCCTATGTAGCTTGTGGAGGCTTGAAGGCAGGATAAATACTGAACAGCCTTCCAGTGTCTGGGCTTGTGTTAACTCAAGAAGGTTGGGACAACAGTGCCAGAGGGTAAACATCAAACTTCACCTGGGAGGAAAGAAAGCTAGGAGAAAGCAGCTGGAGGGGAAAGCTTTCAGGATAGAAAAGGCCACGTTTGAAAAGGACTCACTGAGGAGATAAAGCTGAAGAACCTCAAAGAGAAATCAGCAATTTGCTTTTATAAGATTGAAGCTGATGAAGAGAAATGGGTGGCTGGAAAAGAAGGAGCTTTAGAAAGTTCTTTAAGAGGCTGAAAGAAACAAAAATCTCAGGGATGTGAAGTACAGCATAGGGAATACAGTCAATAGTACTGTAAGAATCGTGTGTGGTGCCAGGTGGATACTAGACTAATCGGGGGATCACTTCATAGCTTGTGTAAATGTCTAGGCACTATGCTGTACACCTGTAACTGATATGAAACAATACAGTCAACTCTTATTTAAAAATTAAAAATTAAAGTTAATGAATAATAACTGATAGGTCACCAACCTAATAGTTGACCTAGATCTTTCTGCTTTAGAGCAAAAAGAACTTTCACCTGAGCACCCAGTCGAACCTCTAAAGAAAGTATCCTTTAAACAACTCCTTTAAAAGCACTCTAAACAGCCATTTCCATTTTAATAGTTGGGTGAGGATTATATCCTTCAATCTGAAAGTCTTCAGCCTTGAAGTCATCAATTGTCTCAACTTTTCGAAGGATTTTGAGCTTTGGGAAAGGCCTTGGTTCTCGCTGAAGCTAAAAACAACATAGGACCATTATTTTGCTGTATCTGTACAACTTATTTTAATTCTGCTCTCAATGTCCCTTAATGAAACAAGAACACTATTTTCTCAACAAAGTATTATTTTACAGGGGTGTACCACTGTACATGCCTTGTCCCTTGTCCCTTATATAATAGTGGAGCATAACCGACTATCACAAACGTGGTGAAGGATATTTTGTGGAATCACGTGGTATCAGGAGTCTGGCGGCTCCCGATAAGTTTTTATAATTGAGCGCTCTTGGTAAATTTATTAAGGGCAGGACACAGTTTTTTACTTTGGTATCTGTAACTCATAGTAGGCTCTCAGAATGGCTATGTGAGTACCATAATCCCCATGCCAATTGTTCTCGGCAGAAAGGGCAAAGAAAGATGACATCTGTACATCTCACTTTCTGGTACTGGTACTTAGTACCCCATGGCATCTGTCACATTAGGTGCCCGTGGTTATCGAGGTATGTGTCTCTTTGTCCCTGCCCACCACCTATTCCTAAACCTAAGCCTTGCAGTCGGAACAGGTCATCTTATCTCCTTCATAGCACCAAGAAGAATGCCTAGTACAGGAAGGATTTCCATAAATCAACTTCTTATCAAGAGAAGGGACCAAACTACAAAGTGTGAGATAGAATTCTTACCTGCATTTTCAGTGGCTCAATGTGATTCAGGTAAACGTGTGCATCTCCCAAAGTGTGTACAAAGTCTCCTGGCTAAATTACATGGAAGCAAAAAAGTATTTTAATTTCAATCCCTTTAAAACGCATTATTTAAAAACACATTATATAAGCATGTAGCTATCTCAAAGCTCTTCAGAAAATAAAGAATTTAACAAGTGTTCCTTTTAAGAAAAGTTAATTCCTGTTAGTTTATATTATAAACAACCTATATAAACCTGTTTATACAGAACACAAGGACAAGAAAGTTCCACGGTAAACCAGTTCATATTTAAAACTAATCAGAATTCTCTGCGATCGATTTTTTCATGTTAAAGAATCTAAGAGTTCAGTGCTTTATGTTAGCGACAATCGTTCCTTCCCAAGAGCATCCCACCTTCAGGCCTGTGATGTGTGCGATCATATAGGTGAGCAGGGCGTAGCTGGCGATGTTGAAGGGCACACCAAGGCCCATGTCTGCTGACCTCTGGTACAGCTGGCAGGACAGCTCACCATTCACCACATAGAACTGGCAAAGGGTATGGCATGGAGGTAGGGCCATGAGAGGAAGATCTGAGGAGCCAGCACAGAGGAAAATTAAGATGGTAGTTTTAAAGAACACAACTATTTAGGCCAAGTAAAACAGGAGAGAAACAGAAGTCAACTCATAAGTGAAGTATCATGAGAAAGAACCACTGGGCCACAGTGACCTCCATAACTCACACCTTCCCCCTCATGACAAAAGCAGACCATTCTAATCCCAGGGATGGCATGAAGCCGACAGACACCTGTGATGTATGTTTACAACGGAAGCAACGCTGTCCCACCCAAGCTGAAATTACTCGCTTGTGCTACCTTCATAGCACCACACTACAAGTACAGGAGGAATTCATTCATTTGCAGGGACCACAGGAAACTAGTGTCTCAGGCACACCCTCCTGTATCCAAAGCTTCTATTATAGATGCAAATATTCCACTCTGGGTATTTACTACACTTTAGTAAAGTTTCATTTTATAATACAGTTGTTAACATAGAAATAGTAGTGATCTGAAACTTCATCTGCCTCCATTTAAAATGTTAAAATCTTGTATATATTTTCATAGGCAACTTAAAACCCATTTTAGAGTAATTATACAAATTAAGACCATCTGGGTCCAATCCCATCCTCTGAAGGTGAAAATAGGGCCAAGTGTGACTTGCCCAGGGTCACCCACCCAGACATGTGGCTAGGGGCAGTTCCCAGGGCCTGCCTCCCACTGCCTCCCATGCACAAGGCCACAGTGCTTCCCTTTGGGCTACAGTTAGAACACGAGAAGATGACTGGGATGCTTTCAACCTTTTGGATTCCAAGAGCACAGGATTATTCTTCTGTCATCAGGGTTGGTTTTGATCATGTCAATCACCTTTTGCAGTTGGTCTACTCCTTGACCTGAATAATCTGTAGAATTATCAGAAAGAGAACATGTGCACATAATCACAAAGGCCTTAAGAGGTCATCACATTGTCCTTCCATAACCCACCTTGGCCCGTGGTTACAAGATATCCAATGTACTCTACAAATTTCTCAGATCTCACTGGGTTATGATGAATTCAAGGCCTAGTCTAGGCTCCTAGGTCTGTCCTTTGGAGCCATAATGAAGTCTATTTTCTACGTAAGAATCCTTTAAATATTTGGTTGGTCATGGTGTCACCTCTTCCCTCTCCCCAATCTTAACAATTTGTTTCTCCCAGTGGTCCCCAAAAGACTTAAGTCTCTATACCCATCAACCATTTTTATCACACTTCACTGGCATGATCTAGTTTATTCTTGTCCCACAGAAAGTACTAGATCTTAAATAGAATATAGCCTTCCATACGCACAACAGAGGATTGTGAGTTTTCTACAACCATGACACTATTCTTCCGACATTCCCACATAAAATTACAACCTGGCAGATAAACACCTATTAGTTTGTTAATATCAGGAAACCTCTATAATCATTATACCACTTGTACTTTTCTCCCATTTCTGATCTTTGGACTTTAATTTGCCTCCTTCTGAAATGAAACTGGAAGCTGAGAAGTACGGAGCTTCATGTTCTCCTCTGGTTAAATTTCCATTTATTGGTACCAGACTATGTTCTAGTCCAACAGTTCTTAAATTTTTTGGAGGAATCAGTTCCAAAAAAGGCAATATGAAGGACTTAAAAAAGATGAACTGTGGTGGAACAGTCTGTGTCTTCATTGTGGTGGTGGTTACATACATCTATAAATGTGCTAAAATTGCATACATACATGCTAACGAAGACACATAAAACTGGAGAAATCTGATAAGCTATGGATTTTGCCAACATCAATTTATACAGCGTGTTACCTTTGGGGGAAACTAGGAGAAGGGTACAAGGACCTCTGTACTTTTCTTTTTTTTGCAACTTCCGGTGAACCTATAATTATTTAAAGGTTAAAATTTAAAAATAAACAAGAATGACAAACTCTCCTATTGAAGTCCAAAAGCTGAGTGGTCATACAACTTTAGACTAGGACATGATTTAATTAGGCACTTTGAGCAAGAATAAATAATTAAACAGTAGGCAAGATTTAAGACAGGGGAGTAGCCTCACACCTGGAGGATGTCCTAGAACAAAGGTTGCATACTAACAACCAACAGACCATTTACGTGCAGAAACAGTATGGACTACACAGCATTTTTTAAGATTGTGGTAAAGTTTTCATTAATACTAAATTTACCATTTTAACCATTTTTAAGTGTGTAATCATTGGCATTAAGTACACTCCCAATGTTGTACAACTGCCACCACCATCCATCTTCAGATCTTTTTCATCTTCCTAAACTAAAACTGTATACTCATTAAACAACTCCCCATGACCCCTCTGCCCAACCCCAGCAACCACCATTCTACTCTCTATCTGCACACGATTTTAAAATTTAATCAAATTGCCAACATTCAAAAAAACTTAAGATTGCACATAAAATGCAGATTTTAGGCTTTTATTAAAGAATTCTGACAATATCAGGCCCATATCCCTCTAGATGTGAGATGTGCCTATCCCCATTAGATGAGACTCATGCTCCCCAGGTTACTGGTCTCTGCCTAGCCAGCAAACTGTTACTTCCTGTGCATGTGTGTCCACCCACCCCAAGGTACGATTTTGCTTTTGTAATCCCTGACAGGAAGAGTCAAAAAACCAGGGCTGGATTCTGTGACACTCAGCAAATGGTTACAGAGGAAGGTGGACATCTAGGAGTGAGATGTTTCATCTTCTTCCACCCAGCAGGGTGAGGACGAGAGGGTGACCTGAGAACTGTACTATCACAACAGTGCCACCTACAGTGGGCTGGGTGGCTAGGTCTTGAAAAGAAAAGGGAGATCAAAGCCTCTGCAAGGCACTCCCTGGGTATCTAACCCCCCAGATGAACTTCCTTCCTTATTCCCCAACACAGCGATCAATCGTGTCACCAACTCTGAATGAAACAAGGTACAGAAAGTGCCAAGCACCCAATAATGCTAATCACCAAGAGTGATCTGACCTCCACAAGTTATAGTTGTGGCTCCTGAATCTGAAACAATCTCTCACAAGGTCAAAGTTATACAGCAGCTTCCCAGATACTTCACTTGAAACTGTGGAGCAAAGTCACTACGATGGGCGCTCAGGAATCTTAGGCAGCACTGTTTCCTCACCTGAATCCATATCTTTGTATTCTGCCCCAAAGTGCCTCCACTGAAAGCCATAAACTGGGCCCAAATCCCCTTCTTTTCTGCAGGTGAATCCCAGGCCATTTAGGAAGTCACGGGACCCATTGGCATCCCAGATTCTCACTCCCTTAGACGACAGTTCTTTAGCATTTGTGCATCCCTGGAAGAGATGGAAGTAGAGCAAGTGAATTCACTTAACCAGGAGATTTCTGAGTCATCAGGACCCAACCCCCAACAGCCTCCTCCCAATAAGCTGGCCTCTGGCCTGTGCTGACAGACCTGTGACAGGCTTCAACACATCCCTGCACGGCCCATCCCATCTTTAAGCATGGTGGTCCCAGCCCCAAATTGGAGGGCCTCCAGGACAGTGATCCCTTCTTTGGAACCACCCTCTCAAGTCTTTTTTCTTGTTCCCCTCAACTAAATTTTCTATACTAAACAAACACCTCCAAGTCCTTTAATTATTCCCACCCTATTAGTGGTTTTGTGTTTCTTAACCAAATGTGTTCTGTGTCGGAGTGTGATACCTAGAGTGAATTTAATGCCTCACATACAATCTGTTTGGTGTACCTTAGATCTGGTGTATAGAATACTTCTACAAGATGGCCGAATCAGACTAGCTTTTCTGGCAAATGAATCTGTCACATATCTTATATATGCCACTATCAAGTTATGTTTACCCCAACCTGTACTTGCACAGTTAAGGTCTTATTGGTTTGTTTTCATTTTTGCCAAGTACAAGCCTCAAGTTGATCTTCTGTCTTATTAGATTTGGCCCCTGTTATCTTAACCTGTATCCTGATTGTGAGTCCAGGTCAAGGACAGACCCCTATCAGCCTCTGGTGCCTTCAGGTATGATAGGCTCTGTTACAAGCAAAGCTATGGTGCAACACAACCTGGGCTCTGTGCCTGTCCTCTAACATCATTCTTTACCTTGATAAACCACAGCAACTCTTCCAAAACACCCTTCCAGAATACACGTTTGGTTGTCAGCAGAGGAAATTCATCTGAAAAAGTTTGCCATATAACTTCAAGATGGAAAATAAAACATGCCACCCAACTTTCCACGTGGAAAAAAACTGCCCCAGAATATTAGACCTTGGAGTGAACACAGGAATAACTGGAAAACTTCGTCTCCTGCCTAGTGGGCGCTCTAGATCAGGGTGGCGCTCTAGATCAGGGTGGCGCTCCCAGGCTACAGTGCAAGTCAGTGACACAATTCGGACAGAGACCACCCTCCAGAGCCCTTCATCCAATGGACAGAGGAATTTCACACAATGAGATGGGGCAGGGGCCAGGCAGGGGTACCTGTGAGGACAGGCAAAGAGAGACCATCCACTACTCTGTTGATGTGACTCCTTTGCAGAGGTGTAAAGACAGCATACAAAGTGTGCCGTCAGGCAAAGTCTGAAGGTTCCCAGAGCTATTCCATGATTATCCTGCCAGGAGAAACTTCCTCTGGACTCGGGGATAGTATAAGCCACACTGGCCAAAACTACAGAATAGTTTTTAAAGATTTGCAAAGCAAATTAACCTATGTTTTAAGTGTCCCCAAAACACTAACTGTTGAAACACTTTATATGCCTGATGCTATTTAATCCTCAAGACAAGCCTCCATGAGGCAGTTATGATCTCCACTTTATAGGCACCATGGCAGAATACAGAGGTTTGCATCAAATGACAGAGATATAAATGTAAAAGCCTACCTTTAAATTCAGTACCTATTCAGTTGTATAGTTGATATTCATGTAACAAGGATAGATTTTTCAAGTGCCTACTTTTATGAGTATTTATTGCCTGAGCATTATTTCCTCCATTTTGAGCACATCGGGAAGCTGAAGATCAGAGAGATTAAGTAACAAGGTTTAAACAGAGGGGCGGGAGTAAAAACTAGGTCTGTGGCTCATTGGAGCCCACTACACTTAGAGCTGCAGGAAGGTGGGTCCCTCTGCTCAATTGAATTTCCCAAGTTGTCCTAGCTAGTTCAGCTACTGCGGCGGGATATTTTTCAGTCTTCAGAATGGGTGTGGAGTGTAGAGACGGTTTCTCCCCAGACCGCAGTAAACCTGCTTCACCAATATGGGGTCCCTCGCCCTCCACACCTGTGTCAAAGATATATGTCCTGTGCTCACCCCCACTCCGCCCTGAAAGTCTGACTCTGACCCCACCAACCCCCAATAGACACTTCTTCCCAGAAGCCATCCTATTTTAATGGAAAAGACAAGAATTTCTACTCGGACTCTCGAGTTGCTGTTTCAAGGTTTAAGAGGAAAGCTAGTTTGGGGGACCAGATGGGAAAACTGTCACGAACAAGTTCCCGACCCTGCCTCTAGGTTCGCGCTCTTCCCGCCGTCGTTGCCCCGCCTACATAATTTTGGCTCCAATTTTGAATTTGCGAAGCGGAAGGGCCAACACAGCGAGGGGAAGAGTAACAACCCAGACCTGTAGCCACGCCGCGGCTCAAGCCCGGGCACTTCTCTCCCACTCTATAGTACGAGGCAAACTCTGCTGGTCGTGCCCGCTTTGGGAGAGACAGCATAACAGGGTGATTAAGGGCACAGGTCCTGGAGCCACAAGGACCTGCATGGTTTTACTTCCCAGCCGTCACTCCTGTCCGTGTGACCCTCCGCACATCAGCTCTCTAATCCGAGCTGCGGCTTCGGCGTCCGTAAAGTGAGGATAAAGATGCTTCCCCAATCTCTCAGAACTGAGGTTAGGACTAAACGTTAACCGCGGGCGCAGCCTCTCCCGCGCGCTTTCCTCGGCTGCAGCTCGGAGCCCACCCGGCGGGCGCCCTCCCCCGCCCCTGGGGCAGCCGCGGTCACCTCTCAGGCTGTAGCGCGCCTGCAAGCCGAACACCGACAGGGTGCCGGTGCCGGTGCGGTCATTCTTCTGGAAGCCGCAACGCAGGATGTGCTCGATCTGCTCCAGGTACTGCAGCTCCCCGTGGGGCTGCGACTTCGCGCCCCACTCCTGCGCGGGGGGCAGCAGCTGCAGGCGCGGGAGCTCGGAACCGGAGGCTGGCATGGTGCGGGCGCGACTGCTGAGACAAAGACAACCGCGGGAATGCAGCCTAGCCGTTTTAACCGTTTCTTTTCCCGCCGCTTAGACGACTCCGCCTCTTCCTACTGGATGAGGTAGGGTCCGCCCCGAGCCCACCGCGTCTCACGCCCCCTCACGTCCCAGGAGCGCGCGAAGTCGCGCGCTGGGTGGAGGCAGTGTACCGTACCTCACCGCGTGCGCCCCGCACAAGCCTCCAGAATCCGGTCGCATTGATCACATTTTAAAAGTTAAGAACCTTTGTCCTAGACAGTAATTCTAAAGACTGTATCTTGGGGCATTGGCTGAGAAAGACCGCTCTAGTTGGCAAGTTTCGGGCTCCACTTCATGCTGATGCAGTGGAGCCTGGGACATCTCCATGTGTTCGAAAAATTAAAAACAAAGAAAACCTTGTTATTTGAGCTATGTTTTCCTATGGCCGGTGGGGGCGTGCTAACAAGTGATTTACATTTTCATTTTCTCTCATCCTCACTGAAGGCCTGCAGCTGGAGCAGGCGGGAAAGGCAGCTTTTTTACATGACGACCAGACGTTTTCAAACTTTAAATAGCAAAAATTTAAATTTTAGTGAAACGTTGGTAATATAAACAACTGTTGGGTGGAACTATTTGATAATAAGTTTAAAATGTACCAATACATGTACATGCAGCAAGCAGTCTTTTGAATCAACAATTGTTTATTGAGGACATAATAGATGCTCAATAAATGTTTTGTTGCTACATCCGGAGTTATGAAGAGTAAGATGTCGGCTCTGTTGGAAACAAACATTATTTCTTGCCATTCAATAAACTCTTTTTTTCCCCTGGTTATCTCAAGTTTATTCTCTGCAAGTTTCTGGATTCTTTCTGCTTAAGTGTATCTCTTGAACTCAGGGTTAACGTTTTTGTAACAGGAAAACAGATTCTGGTAATATCTTTCATCTGCTGATCTGCCTGATTTCAGCAAAAACAATGTTGCATGTCTTTATATGGCACGAAGCCTATACAAGATAAATTGAATCAAAGGTAATTTACAAAATAGCTGGCTATTTGGGTTAATTGGATGGGCGGGGGGTGGGGGAGAACCTCTAAGAACAGACTGAGGAAGGGTTTCAAGGAACATTGCACAAAATTCATACTTGGAAAGTCCATGTTCTTGGTGCTCGGTTGTATGAGTGCTCACAAAGGCCCCACTACATTGAAGTACATTTGGTTACTGATGGCAGATATTTTAAATCTATTTAATCCATGACAATACTAGGCTGGCCCTTCCTAGGTCAACGTAGATTCGTTCTTCGCCATGGCCTGCACCTTCCCCACTCCACCCCCATATCAGTGTAATAATAGTTTTAAAAAGTCACTGTATCTCCTTTGGGAATATTGGCCCTCCTGTGTTGTGTTGTACTGTTTAGATAAGGTGGGTGGCAGTGGGCTGTCTCTCCAGATGCTCGCTCTGTCAGAAAACCAAACTCAGAAAGCAGGCTTTAGACAGGAATGGGGGACTCACATTTTTGGTAGCTTAAGAGCACCACTGGGTGCGAGAAGCTAAAATGCTGCATGGAGGTGCAGTCCTGGGTGGGCCAGGAACTGCAGAGTTCTTTGCTGGGGAGAGAGTGGTGTGAGATAGTCCTGCATATTCTTTCAGGCTTTCAGCATGCCTCCGAGAAAGCCAACCCCACACCTACTGAAAAGTGTCTCCACACATTTCCAATCATGGGAGGATCCCAGGCTGAAAATATCCCACATTATCCAGTTAAAAGTTACATTCTGTGTTTATTTTCTTGTTGTTATTTTGAGCTAAGTTTAATTGTTCCAGCGAAATATCAGTTATACCACAACATGAATCTCAAGACAGGGATAGACTCCCCTCCCCTGCCCGCGTGGAGATTCTTCTTCCGCTGTGGTACGTAGAGAGTCTTGATTTGATAATAATAGAGAGAGAATAGTTCTTTTTCCAGTGGCTGTTGCATAAATGTAGGATAAAATGAATGATCATCTTAGGCAAGCATACCATTCATTCATTCGTCCAACAAAGATTTATATCAAGTGCCTACAACCTGTCAACAAGGAGGAGACAAGGTCCTTGATTTCACAGAACTGATATTCATTCTAGTGGAGAGAGACAATGCATAAGTACCCAAACGAGACACCTGCAAGTGCTATGATGATTACATAGCTGGGTAGAGGGCTACAGAGGGTACAGAGAGACTATTTTAGATGCTATCATCAGATAAGGGCTTCCTGAGGATGTCACCTTTGAGCTGAGTCCTGAATAATAGAAGACATCAGCAGGGGAAGATCTGGAGAAAGAGCATTTCAACCTCAAGTGCGTTATGCCAGCCGGTTTCCAAGCACTTGCATCTCTAAAAATGAAAAATAAGGATGGTATTTATGCTATCTTATTCTAGGAAGAAATAATAATTATTAATAAATCCATTAATTTATTGGGAGGAAAAAAGCTCTTCCTTCTTATTAAAAGGTCTACTTCTGTTAAAAATTTAATTTTTATGTTTAATGGTCATAGAAATTTATAATATATTTATGTTATTTTTATAAATTATTTATAAGTGATAATTATAATAATAACAATACAGAATAAATATTTGAAAACTAGATTTTTGTGTCTTAGGAAATTTTTAATTTAAAATATTTTTAAATATTTACATTTTATTGATCAGTAAAAGATGTTTAAGCATAAGAATATACTACATTAAGATAAAATTCTCTGAAGAAAGTAGAATGAAAATAAGAGTTCATTTTTTTGAAAGTAAGAGTTTAAGGAGAAAATGAAATGAGATAAAATTTCTTACTCTTAAAGAAAAAATTGTATATTTTTTTAAATGGATGATGCTGGGTACCAAATTGCCATAATATTTAGATTCCATGGGGTACATTTTAAAGAGGAATGAAATAGTTTTATTTTTAAATTGCTAATATTTACAATACACAGGAAAATTAAAATTTTCTATTCTTTCAACTTACATTGAAAAATGATGTACAAGAGTGTATATAACTTTTTCAGGTTCCTTTTAGAGAATACCAGAGCAAAAACATGTGACTATTACTGATCTAGAGAAACATTCCCCTTTACACAACAAACTCAAAAATATTGGTACAATTAGAGAAAGGAAAGCAGGAAACTAACATTTTTTGAGAGCCAACTATGAGTCAGGTACATGATTATAGTATTCTTTATATAGTCAAAGCTATCATTTATTGATGTTTATTATGGATTATTAACTGTAGTTTTCACAACTACTCTATAAAACAAAAACTATTACTTTTATCAAGACCCTGAGGTTTAGAGAAATTAGGATTTTGCTTATAAAATCACATACCTAGAAAATATAGCAGCCTGAATCCAGCTCAGCCTGAATGCGAAGGTTTTTCACTGTCCACCTGCTTTAAGCCTGATCTCTTCCTTTCCTCTCTTTAGTCTACAAGTTTTTTGATAGCTCATGGACTATAAAATAGTCAGATTCCCTTTTTAACTTATATTTTGGCTTCTTCTCTAACAAATATATGAAATATATGTTTGAATAGGCTTATTTATTTGAAATTTACTGTATATTAAATCCAGGATTCTATCAATAGTTTCCTAGGTTTTTTTTTTTTTTTTTAATATAGCTTTCAGTTATGTTAGGAAAGACCCTATCGCCATTTAGAGTTCATTATATTCAATGAGCTGCCTGTGAGCTCTAAATTCCTCTGACAAATCTTTCTGTCAAACAACTCAGGACTGGGTATAAAATGTTCTAAATATTTTGAGTCCATTCTTTAATTCTATTTCTTTTTGTAATTGGAAAGACTAACAAAATATATCCCCGGTGTAATCCTTAGTGACATATACTGGCGAATGGTTCTCCTATTGTCGTACCAAGGTCCAAATTATGAGGTTATGTAAGTGTCAGCCAAAAACATCTTGTGTTTTCATAAAATATGTATGGACTTGTTAAAAGAGAACACTGTTCTATTATTTAAAAAAGAAACTATGCAGTTTATTACAGCATTATTTACAATGGCCAAAAGATAGAAGCGATTGAAGTATCCATCAAGGGATGAAATGAATAAACAAAATGCAAGACACACTTACCATGGAATAGCATTCAGCCTTAAAAAGAAAGGAAAGTCTGACATATGTGACCACATGGATGATCTTTGAGGATATTATGCTAAGTGAAATAAGCCAGTCACAAAAGGACAAATACTATATGATTCCACTTATATGAGGTACCTACAGTAGGCAAATTTATAGAGACAGAAAGTAGAATGGTGGTTGCAAAGGGATGAGAAAAGGGAGAAATGAGGAATTATTTTTTAATGGATACAGAGTTTCAGTTTGGGAAGATGACAAAGTTCTGGAGATGGATGGTGTCGATAGCTATATAACACTGTGAATATACCAAACGCTACATTTAAAAATAGTTAAAATAGTAATTTTTGTTATATTTTACCACACACTCACACACACACACACACACACACCAAAAAACAAAAAACAAAAAAACAAAAAACAACCTATGCAGGAAGGTATAGGTCTTTACCAAATAAAGGAATGAATTAGGGATATTTTTCAAAAAAGTCAATTATTATATATTAAATTCAAAAGTAAATTGAAAAAATAATCTTTTGTTAATTAGGAAGTGGAATATGTATAGCAGAAGTGATAGAACACAGACACTTCAGTGATTTAATATTTATTTAATATATAAATATATGTAAAGAACTATTAATGTACCACAGTACATTAATTATATTTGATTTTTTAAAAAGGAATTTTCATTGTAACTCAATTTGAATAGCTATTCAACTGCCACTCAACATAAGAAAATAGTACTTCATAATATATAACTGACAAACATTTCTGCAACTATGATTATTGTATTACCCTATATATTGCAGGAATTTCAGGTCTCAGCTGAAGAGGTAATTCTATTTGCTGGGTATAGGATGCATTAGATCTTCTTACCTTTTAAAAAAGCAGCAATAATTAAAGTGTTAATACATTATTTATGAACTGAGTCTTTTTTCTTGGACTAAAAGTCCAGAATGAGTAATAGAATAAATATTCTTGGCTTTTAAAAAAATTAACACATAGCAAAATAATAGAAAACCCATATGTATGGATGTTTTTAATAGCACTATTTAAAGGCATCATCACACATCTCCTAGTTTGATGAAATTCTATGATGGACCCTGCCTCTGACATGAGTCTTTATTCTGTACCTCACAAACACACAGTGCTTGCTCAATAAACTTCAGTTGCTTGTAACTGTTGACCCTGAGAAAGAATACATCCATCCAGAAAGACTCCCTGTGGCTAACTGGGCCCAAATTCCTAACCAGAGTTTCACACGCACTGCATATCGGGGAAAAGCCACAGACTGAGATGCCAAACTTCCTGCATTGTTTCTGCGGGCTGAGCTGACTCTTATAAAAGAGTTCCTGGAATCATATTTCAACCAATGGGCTGAGATCCTCTCCAGCAATCAGTACTAAGCAGTGATAGCCTCATTTGCATCTTTACTACCAATCAGGACAGTGCTATTTGGACCAATCAAACTGTACAAATTTAGATTCTTCATTTACATAAAAATGGACCAGAGACCAGGGCGGGCACTTTCTCTATATAGTAATATAAGCAGGTCTTCCCTTTGTCTTGGAGGAGTGCACTTTTGGTTTTAATAGGTGGCTGCATTTCTCTTATTTGCAAACCATTCACCTGAATAAAATTTCTCCTTTTACTTCACACTACATCAGGGACTCCTGTTGGCATTGGCTTGGTGGCAGTGACATTTTGCTGAGTACTTGGGTTGTGCAAGGTATTCTGTTATAGCCTGATCCAAGGCCTGACAGCTGCGAAAGTTTGGAATAAGGATATAAAACACTTCCGCAAACAGTCATGGAAGTCAGGCACTCAGGAAGCTAGATTACTAGATGAGAATTCCAGAAGAGGATCCTAGATATATGTTCCATTCTATAAAACTGGAATTCGTATTTTAGCAAGCTACATATTTGCAGCTAGGGCACTTAACAAATATTCATGTGATTGGAAATGACTGGGTTGATTTCCAACCCCCGCCATTTTCCCTGTTATTTCCCTTAGTATGTTTCTCTCTCACTGTTGGCAGGTTTGAGACCTTGATGTGTTGATCTGACCAGAACACTGACAAAATCTTAAACACTGTATTGAATAAGATGCACGAAAGAACAAATTTAGTTAAGCAAACTTGGAAAATGTTCATTCTGTTGAATAACCAAAAACATAAAAGTTATAACAGTGAGATAAAATTTTTCATTTATTAGTAAAGTTTTAAAAATTGAAATATTAATTAGGATATGAGGTACTTTAGATATTACTGCTATCAAATATATATCAAAAACAATTGAAGGTAAACCTTTAAACAAATCATTCTACTTGGAATCTAAGAAAATAAATGAAAAAATGTGAATAAAAAATAGTAAGATGATAATAGTAGTATTGTTAAATTGATGAGATTATAGATAACTTTTGCCTTCTAATTTTTTTGGAATTTGTGATTTTAGAATTTAAAAACTATAAATGAAAAAGTAAAAATTAATACTGCCTTTGTGAAAGATCATCTTACAATCCTTATTAGCAAATAATTTGCTCAAAATCTCAATTTCTCAATATCTCATTTTCCATTGTCATTGCACCCTACCATTTCAAAATCTGTGAACAGATGATTTTATTGAAAATATTTTTATTTGGAGATAATGTATAGTCAATATCTATCTGAGCAGTAGCACATTGCTTCCTTCTTAAAAACCTATAGTGTTTCACTGTGTCAAACCTATAGAGTTTGAGCCCCAGGGATGGTTATCTGGTTTCCCCTTTGATTTTGTTCGTCAGACATTAGTCTTCCATTTTAGCTGCCTTGGTCTCTACAACTAAAGAAAGAATTCAGACTCATGCAGGTGAGATGTTCCTGAGCAGAGAGAAGGTCAAAGGCCCCTACTAAGAGAGATGAGTTTAATAGGACTTCTCAATATCTCTAGTACCCAGACACTCCATGCCTTATAAGAATTCCCATTTCATCATACTTCTATCAGGATTTTGTATTTTTTTCTAATTTGCAAATTTGATTTGCAAAAAAATGCTATCTTGTCTTACTTCTCATGTCTTTGATTATTAATAAGGTTGAACCTATTTTCCAGGTATTTTAAAACTAGTGTTTGTGTTTTTTCCCATAATCAAATTATCTATATTTGCCAACAAAGGATACCTAATTGGATACTCTGCTTACCAAATTTTAAAATGTTCCTTAAAATGTTGTACAGCTTTTGACAGCATGTAGCTAATGAAGTTAGAACTCTCAGCACTTTCTTCAAGAGGGATCCTGAAGGTGAAATTGGAGGAAGGCAGAATGTTTAAGTCTATCATCATTTCATCTTCTTTGGAAAAATTTCCTTGAAGAACACCTGGGACTACCTAAGAAGAAGAATTATACAGTAAATGATGACTAAATCCCAGTGCACAGTCAGGATTAATTTAATACCACATTAGTCAGGATAGGCTAGATTACACTGAGGTAACAAATTTGCTCCAACATTCCAGTGGTTTCTTTCAACAAAAACTTATTTCTCACTCATGTTACATGTCCATTAAGAGCTCTATACCACCTAGACCCTCAGGACCCTTGTTGACAGAGGCACGTTATCTTATGGCTGTAGCATATGGAACAAATGGGTTTCTTTGTGTCTTCGATAGAAAAGAAAGTGGATAACCACACATGGACTCTTCACTATTTCAGTATAGAAATAACCTTTGCCATTTTTGTTCACATTTTGTTGGCCAGAACTTGCCACATGGCATCACTTAACTGCAAGAGGAACTGGAAAATGGGAGTGAGCAGATGGAATAGTTGGTGAGTGCTACTGTCTATGCCACAAATGTTAATGTGATGCATCAAGTTTTATGCTGAGTTTTCTCAGGAAATTTACAATTTATGGTTTTTTGTGTGTGATTTTTATAAGACCCATTTATCTGAATTGCACGTGACTCTCTTAATGAATTTTCAAGTGCATATACTTTGATTTTAATAATTTCAATGAAACTACTGACATGTGGCTTGATGTAACTTTAAGAGAACTATTTTGAAAATGTTTCATATAAATTCTCTATCAAAAAACTAAAGCAAAATGTTAAGACAAAAACTAGTAATTTCTTAATTTTAGTTTATAAAGGAAAAACTAACATAACTTTTCTCCCTTTCCTTTTAGTGAATATAGCACATATAAAAACTGCATAAATCATTTATGTTTAGTTTAATAAATACTTATTAAACTAAATACAGCTAACTAAGTATAGCTAATACCCATGTAACTACAACCAAAAGAGCATAACTTTTATCACCTGTTGGGATTCGTATATTTTTTACACAAGGTTCCTCTTCAGTACTTGCTGTTTTATGGCTTTGCACTTTCCTTTTCATGATGAAATGAGAGCTGTTTTGAGAAAAATAACTTATAGGAAGTTCAACAAAGTGGATAATTGATTCTACAGAAATGCTGCTTGGGTTTGAATACCAGTTCTATTATTTACCAGCTGTGTGAACTCAGACAAGTTGTTTAACTTCTCTGTGCCTCATCTGAAATATTTGGAAAACAATAATACTGACCTTATCAAATCATTGAAGATATTAAATGATCTGATATATAAAAAAGTTCTTAGAACATTGCCTGACACATAGAAAGTGCTCTTTAGTGATGGATTATTATAAAAATGTATCATTGAAAACTATAATGTTATTTTATATGGCAGTTTTTATACAGAAGTGCCTTTGTTATCAATATAAAGAATTTTAGATAAATATGTCAGTGTTACCGAGAGACACTAGAATGGAAGCAAATTGAAGCATAGAGTAGGAAATACTGACTATAATAAAAAAAAAAACAAAACACGGTTAAATATTGACTGTGCCTTCCTAAAGAGTGAAATCACTGTTAAAATTTTTCTTAAAATTTTATTTTTCAAGATAAGAATTTTTCTTCATTAAATTAAAAGGACGATCAAATATATTGAATTATTTTGCGCTCTTTGGGTATAATCTAGTGGAGTAATAGAATCAGAGTCAGCGCAGATTGGAGCAGTGACTTTCAAAACCTTTTGACTGTGGTCTACAGTTACAAATATATTTTACATCATGACTCAAAACACACATATGTCTACGTATATGTATATACACACATAAATGCACACATAATGGAAATGAAAATTCCATGACATATGCATATGACATTAAATGTAATGCACTCTAATATTTTCTCTTGTAGTCTGTTCTATTCTGCTTTTGTTGCTGTTGTTGTTTTAATGTGCTGGTTATGACTTTAAATGTATTTGTCAAACCTTACACGGGCTACAACTTTGTAGTCTGAAAGAAAGTGAAACACTAGGTTACAGGATGTCATAGGTCAATTCCTTAGAAGGAGAACTTGAGATTCTGACATGAATGATTCACTGAATTGCCTTTGGGGAAACTTTTAGGGCATGAGACAAGCCAGACAGAGAAGAGGGAGAAGCCAGTTGACAATGTGGCTTCCGGTGACATCTAGCTTCAGCCTGATCTTGCAGGGCCTCTGGAGCATAAGCGGACCCAAGGACAACCCTATGGAGAAGGTTGCAGGGCTGAGCAGTTAGCAGCAGCAGCAGTTAGAGATGGTTGTGGGATACCCAAGGATCAGGGAAAGCCACCAATATTATTGCATCTTCAATAGCTCTGCCCAGTGATTTTTGTATCCAGGTCTTTTTAGGAAATCACCTATACTAACCTTATCAGAAATCACTAGCCTGGCACATTTATATATTGATGTAATGTGTGTGGGGTGAGGGTTGAGTCAGGAAAGAAATTCAGTCACTGTTTGTTATATGTTACACAAAAAGAGTTATTAATTGAATGAGAGAGACATGGTTTAAGTCCAACTTAAGATGACAATATGCTTTTATGTAAAGATTAATATATAAATATGTTTAATTCTCAAGGTAAGTTAGCAGCTTGTTGTGTCAAAAACTAATAAGAGCTGTGATTTACAGAGCTCTCGCTTTGTATATGGAACCTATACTAATCACTTTATAGAAATATGTGTTAAAGTAGCTATTATTATTTCTATTTTCCAGGAAAAAACTGAAGCCTAGAAAAATTAAGGAACTTTCCCAAACATATTCAGCTGATAAGTTTCAGAGTCAGGTTTTGAACTCAAGTTGCTTTACCTGAAAGTCTTCTCTCTTAAAAACGACATTGATCAGGTTTCTTCAAGATTACCTGTATTAGTTACAGCCCTATCGTTCTAAGCAGAATTAGCTATCTCTGAATTACAAAGTATTTTGTGTTTTAAACTGATTTCTTTATAGAGTTTTTTGTTTTCTAAAGACATGTACTCCATTATATCAAGTCAGCTTGAATACAATCACAATGGAAATATGAATATCCTCCTATAGCTGATTTTCAAATTCAGGTGTAATTATTAAGTAAATTAACAGAAAAATCACTGTATGCACATGTGATCTTCCTATCTGTTCTTGAGTCTTTCCATTACCTTTATGGAATTGAAGATGTTCTCAGGTCCTGGAGTCTGATTTGCCAGTTCAGTCACCCAGCTAAATTGCTCTCTCATCTTCTCCATCAAATATGTAGTGTCCTCCAAGTGATGCTGTATCATCTGGAGAATCTGGCCGTATTGCTGATTGGATATGTTGACCAATTTAAGGGCCTCATCTACTTTTGCATGTAGTTCAGGTACATCAGGACAGCCTAACAAAGAAGAAAGTAATATAATAAAGAAAAAGGTCTATGGAATTTGGAGTTGGGCGATGAGGGTTTAAGTCCTAGCCCAGTGGTCCCCAACCTTTTTGGCACCAGGGACTGGTGCTCCTATGAGAATTTAATGCCTGATAATCTGAGGTAGAACCGAGGTGGTGATGCTGGGGAGCGGCTGCAAATACAGATGAAGAAGCTTTGCTCACTCACCTGCTGTTCACCTCCTGCTGTGCAGCCCGATTCCTAACAAGCCATGGACCGGTACCAGTCCACGGCCCCAAGTTTGGGGATCCCTGTCCTAGCCCATAAGCTTTTTATTTCCAGTCTTTTGATTTTGAGTAAGTTTTTAACTAGGTAAAATATGAATGAATGAAATAACGTAAAGTGCCTGGTCACAGGGTCAGCACACATTACAAAATTTTCCTTCCTTTTTCTCCTTTCTATGGTGTCTCCGAAGATCCTCAGGACTACTCACTGATATTCTGATCAGGGCACATGGGGGATTACACTTCCCTGCCACCTCGAAGCTGAGCACAACCTTATTCAAAGCTATGTGTCTCACTTCTGGAGGAAGACTTTAAGAACGGTTTGGGATTTATCATGCTCCCTTCCCTATGAGGGTAGAACTAGTTTTGCTCCATGTGGTGGAGTCACATCATCCTGAGTGAGGAGATGTGTAGCAGAGCTCTTGCTCAAACTGTAAGTGACACGTTGAGAAATAAACCTTTGTGTTTCCAAGCCACTAAGATTCTGTGGTACCTTGTTATTATTGCACAAAGCCCATCTAAACTGAAACAGGGTTGTAAGAACTTATAGCTGTGCTAATGAGCCGCTTGATATAGTATAAAGATTATCTGTAGACTATGGAAGTGTTTATGTGTTAGAGCATCCAGGATAATGAGATCCTTATGGAAGAAGACCAGAGACTCTCTAAACTATGTCTTGCTGTTTACTAAAAGCTACACCTTCAACAAGATAGGAATGGGGGAGAATCCACCAACCAGAAGCGAGGTGACTACCTCATCTTAGGTTTTAAACATCATTTATTGGTTCTTTTGACACATGGATATAACACAAGGTTCTCTGGTGCCTCACATTCTTGCAGAAATTGTTTTGGAATATTCAGGAGAGAAAGACCTTTGTACTTGCAAGTAAACAAATTTGCAATAGTGTATGTTTGAAAAGTAATTCAAGAAAACACTTTGAAAACAAAGGGAGTAACAGTAAACAAGATATAGCACATATTTGAAGGGAGATACAGATATTCTTTTAAAATGTCTTCATTTATAACTTCATAGTTGTTAACTTTTAGAATAGTAATATAAAGATTTTTTTTTTTTAAATTATGGAGGGAAGAGATGGTGATTTTCCTCATGATCTTAGGCAAGTGGAATTCTACAAGGACACTCATTTGCTCTTTTTGAGAGTGCCACCCAGGAAAAAGATTTCTCAAGAACAAAGGTAAAACTTCATGCAAAACACAATCATATGGAAAAAGAAAAAGTAAGCTATTCACAGATGACATGCTATTGTATATAGAATACATACACACTCAGAAAAAAAAAACCTATTAAAACTAATAATTCATCAAGGTTGCAAAACACATGATCAATATATAAAAATTAATTTTATTTCTATACACTAACAATGAACAAACCAAAATAAAATTAAGAAAACAATTCCACTCACAATAGCATCAAAAAGAGCAAAATGCTTGTGAACGAAGTTTTTAAAAGTGCAAGACTTATACAATGAAAACTAAAAAAGATCTTTGAAAGAAATTAAAGATGATTTAAATGGAGAAACATCTATGTTTATGGGTTGAAAGACTTAATATTGCTAATACTCCACAAATTGTGCTATAGGTTTAATGCAATCTATGTCAAAATCCCAGCTGCTCTTTATGCAGAAATTGATAAGCTGATCCCAAAATTCATGGAAACACGAGGGACCCAAAATAGCCCAAACAACCTTGAAAACAAAGAACAAAGTTGGAGTACTCACTTCCCAATTTCAAAACCTGCTAAATACAACAAAGACAGTCTGGGATTGGCATAGGACAGACATATGTATCAATGGACTAGAATTGAGAGTCCAGAGACAAATTCAGTTAAGATGGCAGAGTAGGTAAATGCTGTGCTGGCCTCATCTCATGACTCCATCAAATCAACAGAACACCTACAGAGCAACCCTCTTTAAGAATCACCTGAAGTCTAGCTGAACAGAAGTCCTACAACTAAGGACATAGAGAAGAAGCCGTGTGGAGACTGGTAATAGGGGTAGAGACATGAAATGGGCTGGTTCCACACCCATGTGTGGCAGTTGAGAATCTGGAGGGATATCTCTAGCTGGGGAGCTCTCCCCAAGGGAACGAGGGATCCCAGCCCCACGCTGGGCTGCTCAGCCCAGAACACTAGCTGGGAAAAGAAGTCCCCACAACTTCTGGCTGTGAAAACCAGTGGAGTTTGTGGCTGAATGAGACAGAAGGCTGCAGGAGTCCCAGGCATTCCTCTTAAAGGGCTCACGAACAGACTTACTGATGGACTCACTCGCTCTGAGCTCTAGTGCTGGGGAAGCAGCTCCAAAGGCTTCAGGGACATATGAGGAGGAACTGGATTATCTGGCTTCAGGATAAGGGCTGGAGGGGCAGCTTTCTCCCGGACAGAAGTGCTGGCAGAGGGCATTGTTCCTTTGTTGAGCCCTCCACCATTCCAGCATGCAGACTTTGGCAGACACCATACCTGAGTTTCCATCCACCTGGCTAACACCATTCACCCTTCTCTGGTGATTCCCTGAGACCCTACCTCACCCAACTTGAGGGCCCACTCAAAAAGCTTCCAGTGGCTTTTCCATACAAACAAACAACCTGTCTTGGCTCAGGCTACAGACTTTCCTAAAATCTTTCAAGGGTTCACAAATCCCAAATAAGCAACATCTGACCTCAGTGTGTTCTGTACCTCTCGCTAAGCAGCCCCAAGCTTGGCAGTTCGCAGTTGAGCCTCTCCTAGGCACCTCCAAGCCCCGTGAGGGTGGAAGACATCTGCGGATCACTTTGTGGCTCATGCCAGGTGGCCCCAGGAAGATCACAGATAGAGGTGGCTGAACTTGGCTTGTGGCAGGGCCCTTCCCAGGAGGTCTTGGACTAGCAGGCCCAGTGGCCATCTCAGATCACGCCTAGCCAGAGCACCACCTGGCCACCTCCACAAACAACACACCGAAAGGGCAGAAGGGACAGGCACCAGAGCCCTGCTAAAGTGAATCCTATTCTGTGTGGTCAGCCCCTGCACAACAGCTTCTCCACTGTAGTAACAGCCAGCCCTCACAACCAATCAACCTGAGGGTCAATCCCCACAATTAATATCCAAACAACAAACAAGGCTCAACTACAACAGAAGGGCACGCACAACCCACACAAAGGACACACATCTGGAGCACCCAGCTCAGGTGACTAGGGGGACTGCACCACTGGGCCGCACAGGACATCTACTACATTAGTCCACTCAACTAACACTGGGAGACAGAGCCAAGTCCTACCTAATACATAGAAACAAACCCAAGGAGGCAGCCAAAATGGGAAGACAAAAAAACATGCCCCAATGAAAGAACAGAATAAAGCTCCAGGAAAAGAACTAAATAAAATAGAGACAAGCAACGTACCAGACGCAGAGTTCAAAACACTGAGAACTTCATCAAAGAGATAGGAAACATAAAAAGGGGAGATAGAAACATAAAAAATAACCAGTCAGAAATGAAGAATGCAATAACTGAAATAAAGAATACATTAGAGGGAATAGACAGTAAATGAGATGATGTACAGATATGGAATCAGCGACACGGAAGATAAGGCAGCAGAAAACATCCAACCAGAATAGCAACAAGAAAAAAGAGTCCAAGAAAATGAGGATAGTTTAAGAGGCCTCTGACACAATACCAAGCATACCAAAATTCACATCATAGGGATAGCAGGAGAAGAGAGAGAGTAAGGAATTGAAAACCTATTTGAGAAATAATGACTGATAACTTCCTTAACCTGGTGAAGGAAGAAGACATACAAATTCGGGAAGCACAGAGAGCCTCAAATAAGAGGAACCCAAAGAGACACATACCAAGGTATATCATAATTAAAATGCCAAAGCTTAAAGACAAAGAAACAACCTTAAAAGCAGCAAGAGAAAAGCAGTTAATTACTTACAAAGGAGCTTCCATATGACTATCAGCTGATTTCTCAACAGAAACTTTGCAGGCCAGAAAGGATTGGCAGAAAATATTCAAAATGATGAAAAGCAAGGACCTACAACCAAGATGACTACCCAGCAAAGCTATCATTTAGAATCCAAGGACAGATAAAGAGCTTCCCAGACAAGAAAAAGCTAAAGAAGTTCATCACCACCAAACCAGTACGCCAAGAAATGTTAAAGGGACAAGAAGGAGAAGGAGACGGAAACGGAGACGGAGACGGAGACGGAGACGGAGGAGGAGGAGGAGGAGGAGGAGGAGGAGGAGAAGAAGAAGAAAGAAGAAAAATATATACATAAAAATATGAATTAAAAAATGGCAATAACTACACATCTAGCAACAATTAGTTTAAATGTAAATGGAGTAAATGTTCCAATCAAAAGACATAGGGTGTCTGAATGGATAAGGAAACAAGATCCTTAATATGCTGCTTATAAGAGACTCACTTCAGATGAAAAGATTTACAAATCTGAAAGTAAAGAGATGAGAAAAGATATTTCATGAATATGAGAATGAAAAAAAATCTGGGGTAGCAATACTTATACCAGACAAAATAGACTTTTTTAGAAAGGCCATAACAAAAGACAAAGAAGGACCCAGTAATCCCCACTTCTGGGTATTTATCCAAAGAAACCCAAAACACTACTTCTAAGGGACATATGCATTCATATGTTCATTGTAAAATTATTTACAACAGCCAAGATATGGAGGCAACCTGGGTGTCCTTCTCTAGATGAATGGATAAAGAAGAAATGGTA